CGCATGCCCGGATGCCCGTCCTTTTTTTGCAGGAGATCACACGCGAGCAAAATGTACCAGTGGCTGCTGAGGCAGGTTCAAGCGACATTCCAAGTGTAACGGGAATGAAACTTCCTTTTGGCACAGTCTGTGAAGTTTCACTCGGTGAGTTTTGGGAAGTTCTCTTGCCAGTCGGTTTCTCATGTTTACGGTAGTTGTGTTTTGGGGGGCAGGTCTTCGCGCAATCCATTGCCCAAATGAAGAACTTGGTTAAGCGCAAGAACGGTCAATTCATTGGCCTACTTGTCCGGCGAACCTACGCGGAGAGGTTCCTTAATGGAAAATCACTGGAAATCAGAACGCGACCACTGAAGTTTCTCGGTGTCGGTGAGCGCATCATTCTTGTCAGTTGTGGCCAGAAGGAGGGCGGAAGGAGGGCTCTCGCAACCTTGCAGTTCACTGGCTGCTTCCAGATTTCTTTGGCTTCGTTTTCCACCTTTCAGGCTACGCACAAACTGGATGATGACGAGATGGAAGCCATGAGTTCACAGACAAGAAAAAAGGACAAGGATCATCTTTGGGGCTGGCAACTCACTATGGTGCATCAATTCTCAGAGCCTGTTCCTGTACCGACCACCACTGCAGAAGTCTGGATGCACTTCACTGTGGATCAGCTTCAGGCAATGGGGGTGTTTACTAATCCGGTGTCGCCATTATAATCCCATCCACCTATAAAGAATCACGAGGCCCCCCCTAATAAGCAACTCCTGGTGCGTTTTTGTTAATAGGGGGTCCCCAAAATAGGGGGGCCCTCCTATGTTTGTAGTTCAATAGTAGGTCAAGAAGGTGGTGTACATTTAGAAACACAAATAAACCGTATTTATGGGTCTCCGATATGCTTTCTCTTTTTGGAAGTGTTTGTTTTGGTTACCCACTGTGGGTGTGTGTGTGTCATAGTTTCGTAGTTGCAGGCAATGACGCAAACCGATCCTGAGCCTGCAAATCTCAATTCTACTGGCAGTAGCGGTCCCACCGATGGGTTTGAACATTCCTCCACGGCGGGCAGTTTGATGAAGTCTTCTTCTACTTCTGGACCATGCCTGCCTCGTCCGCAGAGTTGTTGCCCACAGAACAGGAGTCTGAGAGTCTAATGAAAGAATGGCAGCACGAGCAAATGGGGATTGTTTTGACCCAGCTGGAATGGGCAGCTCTCTCCGCTGGCCAAGCACATTGCTTTTTGCGGCCCTCACGGGCTTCCATGAGAACATTCTTGGTGATCCTGCGGCAAACGGCTGGCCTAGAAGCGGTGGGGTTTGCTCGTGTGGGAGAAATCACGAAGCCGGGCCGAACTCGGAATGAAATGCGTGATCTGTCAGAGGATCCTGGCCTCTTAGCCATGTACACGGCCAAGGAGCTAAAAGGCCCCAAGAGCAAGTGGCTTGTGTGGTGGCTGGAAGATATAGCGGCTTTTGCTTCCCCTTCTCCGGTCACCATACCTGTCAAGAAGGCACTCAACAACCGTCCCTTCTACTTGAGCCGGAGCCACCTAGTTGAGCCCCCAGAGTTGAAGGGTGACTTGCATTGCACTGCCCAGTTCTTTATTGACTCCCTGCCAGATGGCATGAAAAAGAATGTCATGAAGCTGGGACAAGCTTTACGAGGAAAGAGCGTGCGGGTGGGGACTACTTGTTCAGGCAGTGATGTGTGCCTGCCCTGTTTGCAGAGCGTCTTTGACATCATCTCTGGAGAGGCTAGGGCGGTTGAAATCACATAGAATGCCGCCTTATGTTCCATATTGTGTCCCTGATAGGTTGGAAGCATCCGCCTAGTGCACGTCTTCTCTGTAGAGAAAGACCCGCAGAAGCGCGAGCTCATCCTGATGCAATCTGAGAACGTTCATCACGTATTCTCAGATGTATCCGTCATGGGGGAAGAGAAGGGCTTTTGCTTCAAGTGCACCCTGTTCGCGGTGTTGTTTGTTTTGCTGAAAAAATACTATCACTTGGAATGTGCACTTGTAGTCATACATATTTAGTAGAAAACATGGCATGAAGTTGGGTAGGGATGCTTATTGCTTTGTCTAGACAGATTGACAGATCAAGACATACCTGTGTCCTTTGCAACTGGAATGAGGCGATCACAAGCATCCCATCAACAAGAGCAACTGTTCCGTGGATGTCTTTCTCTGCGGCCCTGCGTGCGTGGATCTGTGCATGCTGAACTCCAAGCGGAGTGAATTTGCCGGGTGCTACGAAGACTGCAGTGACGGAGATGACTTCCAAGAGGAGGGCACGTCAGGGATGACATACAAGAATGGGTTCAAGAAGGCAGGACCCTGCTCACCTTCTCCCTTTCCATCCCGGCTCTCTTGCCTTCCTGTAATTTGTTGAATTACACCACGGACAGTCCTTAAATCTTGACCTTTGGATTTTCTCAACAACATCGGCAAATTTGCGCAGGTCTATGAGCTGCTGACACCGCGCTTTGCCTTTTACGAGAATGTAAAATCAGCAGCGCACCGTAGCACGCTGTTCAATGGGAAAGTCAAGCAGCCAGCCGTGAAGGTGCGTATGAAAACGGAAAAAGATTTGTTTCATACGGCTGAATCATGCGGTTTTAGTCCTTTTCTCTGGAGGTGGTTGAACAACACCTCCATGCAGCCGGCTACACTTACAAAAACAGTTACATATGTCTGGCGACTAGTCTGTATGCACACTTGTAAGAGGCATTCTAAGTGAACATGTATCTGAGTCTGCGTGTGGTAAGGCATACGCTATCTTGGACACAGACCAGTACTTACTACCACAACGAAGGAACCGCGTCTGGGGAATGGCTTCTTTGCTGGGTTGCAAAAGGCAGGAGGAGATTCAAGAAGCCTTTTCCGCTTCGCTTGCTGAGATGGCAACTTCAGCGAAGTTGCCAGACCAGCGAAGTTGCCAGACCAAGAGGTATTTGTCCAGGCTCCGCCACAAGACATCAAAGAAGGTCGTCACAGGGAGCTTTTGGATAAAGGGATGGAAGCGTTTGGGCCACATGTCTTCATTGACGCGTCTTCTAGCCTTGCCCGCAAAGTGGCGCATAGCGGTGGCATACCTTGTGTTACGCCGACGCATCCAGTGTACTCGGCGAAACACCAGCGCTATTTGGGTCCGCAGGACTTCTTGCAAGCCCAAGGCATCTTTCCAGGATCCTACAAACCAGAGGTGTACACACGCATGTGCACAGAGCCTGGACTAGGCCAAAGTCTAGCTGGCAACTCATTCTCTGCGACAGTCTGCCAAACTGTTGTTTTGGCCTCTACGGTGTCTTGTCCAGACTTGTGGGCTGAAATTGATAGTCCGGAGAAGGTCTCGCTGAGCCACATCTCCAAGCAGGCCTCCACCCCCTCAGAGCAGCAGCCTGCGCATGGTACAATCTTGAGACGGTTGCCGGGAAAAAGAAAGGCACCTGAATATGATTTTGCTTTGCGAGGAGCAAGCGGGAAGCCACTGCCAGCCCAGAGAGCAGGGACAAAGCGTAGGCGCTACATACGCAAAAAACTTGGCGTGGATGGTAGAAAGCTGGCCAAGGGCAAGAAACCGATGGTGTCCATTTGGGCCAAGATGGAGATGCTCCTCGGTGCAATTTAGCCTTCTGGTTTGTCTGGTTGTCTAATTTCCCCCATACACTTGGAATGCATCTCCTATAGACTTTTCTAGCCATTCCCAAACGCGGTTCCTTCGTTGTTGTATAAATATATATATAGCAAGTAGTGGTCTGTGTCCAGGATAGCGTATGCCTCACCCCACACGCAGACTCAGATACATGTTCACTTAGAAAACCTCTTACCAGTCATACAGGCTAGTGACCAAATCATTTTATTGTTTTTGTCACAGGATTGATGATATTGACCCTGTCTGCTGCAGGCTAAAGGCTTATGATGAAGCCAAAGCAGCTGGGAAGGCTTCTCCGGCCAAGGAGGTTGAGAAGCTAGGCTATCGTGGCTTTTACCGTTGCTGTGTCTACAAATGTGCTAAATGCCGGCAAGTTCAGCACTGGGACCTTTTGGTCACAACAGCTCCCCAGTTGGCCAAGAGAATGAAGGAACTTCCCAACAAAGTGAGGAAAATGATTGGACAACCTCTCAAGTTTGTGTCAAGGATCTCAGGTATGAACCTTGAGGAGAAAGGCACCACCATACTACCACCGGAGCTAGCGGAGATGGTTGCGGAAGCTGTGGCTACTTGCCGATAAAAAAACCTTATATGCTCTCTCTCTCTCTCTCTCCCGCTCTCCCTCCCTCGTCGGTATGTGTTCAACAAAAATTGGTGATATTTTTACACGCATATATAGTATAATATAGGTAAACAACAGCAGGGTGGGAAATTGGTCAAATCAGGTTGAACGCATCGCCTTGGGGGAAGAATGCGATTTTTACTTTGTGGCAGACGTGCTCAAACTGGCAATCCAGCAATGGAATGAATCAGTTGACCTCAAGAAGCAGAAATTGTCCAGCGCGGGTGGTCTACTGCAGACATTGGAGGCAGTAACCGCAGGAGAAGAGGGTTTCCAGGAGAATGAAGCAGTTGCTCGAGTTGAAAACAGTGTTGCCGAGCAAATGGGTAGGCTTCAGAAGATCACGCTGAAGCCAACAGAGAACAACTTTTTGATACTTGGTTGGGTTTGGTTGGTGTTCCTGTGTTCATTTCTCTGGCTGGTCTTGGGTGCTTCACATATGCATGTGTTATCTGTATACTTATATATATATATATATGTTTGTTGTTTCTTTCCACCAGTGACATTCTAAGTGATTGTTTGCCTTGCGCGTTCACTAGGAAATCAGCACAGAGACTATGCCAAAAGTGTGGAATTGGCGTCTGTGGCAACACGAAGCCGGGCAAGCACCTGCCCTCATCCCACCCAGCTCTACAGAAGCTTAGAGAGTTCATCCAGCTGTTTGGAGCTTGCAGTACCAACCGTCACGGAGGACCCTCCAGCCTCGAACCCATTGCGACGACCTAGCCCGCTCCCTTCCTCTCCGGAAGCTGCGCCACCGGATTCAGAACGCACTGGATCTGGAGGTGACAGAGGACCCATCTCAAGACAGGTATCGCAGCAAGGCTGCTTTTGACCATGATGGTGTGACAGGGGGTGCAGTGGCATGCGCTCCTGTTGAGCAATGGCGAGTACCACGGACTCTCACGACGTTGTCCTGGCTGGATGGGGGGGTGGGCCGAGGGTTTGTGACTCTACGGGCGGATGCCATAAGCGAGTCGGATCTCCAAGTGGCAAACCAGGACTCAAGCTGAGCTGTGGTTTGAGAAGTTGGTATGATCTGCCATTTATGGCTGTGCATCTTTGTGCAGGCATTCCAAGTGTAAAGGCCAACATGTTACATACATGTACTGTCAACCTATGATATATCAGCTGAGCAAATCCTAACACAAAATTATATGTTCACCTTAAAAATATAAAGCAAAATGTTTCTACCACTGGACCTAGATACAGATACCCCCAATCTGCCATTTAAAAGTTGTCTTGAAAACGCATCCTATAGATTCAACTCTTATATTCTGTACGTGTAGACGAGAGAGAGAGAGAGAGAGAGAGAGAAAAAAAACAACAAGAGAGGGAGAGAGAGAGAGAGAGAAGGGGGGTGCATGTGTTGGCTTCTCCTGCAGTTGATCAGCTTGAGTGGCAGGAGCTATCAGAATGGCTGGAGGTCGCCCCACCTCAATCCAGAACTCACATCTGGGGTGGCGACACCATGATGACATACCTGGCCTTTTTAGGAGGCGAGATCCGCGCTAAGCGCCGCAGCTTGGGCCTCACGATTGCAGACAGATGCATGGTGATATGTGACTGCGCCACGCAGCACACCAGCAAGACGTACGAGCAGCTGCGTTCTGCGTGGTGCCAGCAACATAATGTGGCCTTTTGGCAAAAATAACAACGATAGATATAGATCTCGATCAAGACGGTGTTTTTTCCTCACCCTAGGACTGTAGGATTGTTAAACTTTGGACATATATATATATATAGACCTCAGATGACCTCAGCCACATCGTCCACT